CCGCGCCGCGTGCCGCGCGCCGCGCGCCTGCTCCTCCTCCAGAAAAAGTCGCCATTTTGGTTTACTGCCTCCCCCCGACCCCCCGGCGTTCGTGATCGGCCCTAACGGGGCCAGATAGGGCCCCCACCGCAAGCCCGTGCAGGGCCGCAGATGACAGGTGGGTGGGTGGCCAGGCCTCGCCTCCAGGTGTGTGTGCCTGACAGGCCTCCCGCGTGCCCGCTGGGGCCTGGGCCAGGGTCTGACTTGTGCAGGGTCCCTCTGGTCCCCTGTGAAGGAGGTTCTTCACTGCTGGGAGGGAGACAGGGGGAAGCCCCATGCCCTGGGGCTGCCTGCACAGGCCCAGTGGAAGGAGAGGAATTATCTCCCAGGCCAGGGGTCCCCTGGATGCCCTGCTGGCCAGGCTGGGGCAAGATGGACAAACAGGGGCCTGGCCTACACCCACTTCTTGGGCCACCAGGTCAGGCTGGCTGGGTGACCACTGCCCCTGGGACCTCTGGGAGGTTGCACCTTGAGGAATCCCGGAGAAGTTTGTGTGGGTGTCTTGGGCCCTCCCTCCACCCAGGCCCAGGGTTTGGGCATTCCTTTTGTAGCAGGCCGAGGCTAGCCTGAGTTGGTCTCTACCCTCGCCTACTGGGGCACCCCTTCCCCTGGCCTTGGGTCTCCATGTAAGGGGACCAGAGAGGGCTGGGCCCAGAGTCCCATGTCTGCCCCCAGCTCCTGCAGCATGGGATACCCCAGGCTGGGTAGAACGGACCCCAGCAGCAGAGCACCCTCTGGGGCAGGCTGGACGGGCTGATGCTGTGCAGGTAGCCCTTGGGCAGGGGACCGGGCTCTGCAGGTGGAGGTGAAGGGCGAGAGCCAGAGCTGGTCTCTACCTGGGGGCCGGAGGGGCCAGGAGAGGCAGCTGTGGGACTCTGGTCTGCTCTCTGGGAAAGGTTGGGGCCCTCAGCACCCACCTTGGCCATCTTCCAGTCACTATGTCCTGGGCAAAGGGGTCTGGTGTGCCCACTGGGTAGGTCGGCACTGCTGGGCCCAGGTGGTAGGGGCCCAGCTGTGGGCTGTGAGCCAGCAGTACAGTCCTGGGGTCTTAGCTGAGCCTCCAGTGGGTGGAGTCAGCGCCTGGCCATGTCTAGGGACAGAACTGCCTGGAGCTGCTAAACCCAGACTGACCTCAGCAGGTCAGCCCCTTCACAGAGTCTGCAGCCCTGCCCCCTCGCACCCCCTCATTCCCAGGGTCAGCCCTGAGGGTGAGGGTTGAGGGCCAGCCGGAGGCCCCATCTGTGTCCAGTCAGGGCAGTGCTGGACAGCTCAGGGAGTGGTGGGCCCTGAGCCTTGGGGCCTCACCGCTGTCCCCTTGCTCTGTCTGTAGCCATGACTGATCCCTTCTGTGTGGGCGGAGGTCGCCGGCCCCCCACATCCAGCAAGAGTGTGTCTGGCAAGGATGCTGGCCGGATCGAAGCCCGCCTTCCAGTGCTACACAACACCCCCAGGCTCGGTAAGCGACCTCGGCGCTGAGGAGAGGCTCAAGGCCTGGGCCTCCCAGCACCCTGCCCTTGAGCCTGGTGTGCTCTGTGCCACCCACAGGGGTGCCGGTGGTCCGGAGTGGGCAGGTTGTGCCCAGCCAGGCTCCGCTGTGCTTCGCTCCAGGGAGCCCGGCCCACGATCGGACAGGAGGGAGGAAGAAGGGGCGGCCAAAGGCCGAGAACCAGGCCCTGCGAGACATTCCCGTGAGTGCTGGGCTGGGTGGGGCTCGGGGGACAGGGATCTGCTTGCCTCTCACATGGCCAGATGGGCCTCCACCTTGTGGCCTGGAGCTCGCAGCCCCCTCCTCATGCTTGACCTAGCAACTGCAGTGAGGGCCAGTGGTGCAGGTGGGGGCACTAGGACAGGGCCATTCTGGGCCGCTGCTCAGAGCAGCCCAGGGCAAGGCGAGGGGCCAGAGCCAGCGCTGCATCTGATGCTTGGCTTGGGCCGAGGCCCTCTGAGGGGTCAGCAACCTGGCCTTGCCCCCCGCTACCCCCAGAACTCCCTGACGAACCAGTGGAAGGATGAATTCAAGGCCCACTCAAGGGTGAAGTGTCCAAACTCGGGGTGCTGGCTGGAGTTCCCCAGCATCTATGGCCTCAAGTACCATTACCAGCGGTGCCAAGGGGTAAGGGGTGTCCGGTTGGGGACAAGGAGGCCCGGGCCTGCCCACCCAGGCTGTCAGCGTTCTCTCCTACTCACTGGGGGGTGTCTGGGCAGCCCCCCTGGGCGGGCCCCGCCCACACCTGCCCTTCCCGCTCAGGGTGCTTTCACAGAAAGGCGGGCTTTTCCCTGCCCCTTCTGCGAGGCCGCCTTCACCTCCAAGACTCAGCTGGAGAAGCACCGGACTTGGAACCACATGGACCGGCCCCTGCCTGCCCCCAAGCCAGGGCCAGTCAGCCGGCCCGTTACCATCAGCCGGCCCGTGGGCGTCAGCAAGCCCATCGGTGTGAGCAAGCCCGTCACCATCAGCCGGCCTGTGGGCGTCAGCCGGCCCATTGGCATCAGCAAGCCTGTCCCGGTCAGCAGGCCCATCCCGGTCACCAAGCCTGTCCCGGTCAGCAGACCTGTGCCGGTCACCAAACCTGTCACAGTCAGCAAGTCCATCCCGGTCACCAAGCCTGTCACAGTCACCAAGTCCGTGCCGGTCACCAAGTCCGTGCCGATCAGCAGGCCCATCCCGGTCACCAAGCCCATCCCAGTCACCAAGTCTGTCACGGTCACCAAGCCTGTGCCGATTACCAAGCCCACCCCAGTTACCAAGCCTGTGCCTGTCACCAAGCCGGTCACGGTCAGCAGGCCCATCCCGGTCACCAAGCCCGTGCCGGTCAGCAGGCCAGTGACAATCAACAAGCCAGTGCCGGTGTCAAAGCGCGTGACGGTGACAAAGGCCATACATGCCAGCAGGCCTGTGGCCGTCAGACCCACGCCACCCTGCAAGCTGGTGCTATTGGCCAAGCCTGAGAGCAAAGCTGCCCGTGCTGCGGGGAGGAACAGCGGTAAGAAAAGGTATGGGCCTGCTCTGGGCCGGGAGGCTCCTGGGCTGCAGCTGGTACCCCTCACTCGCCTACCTACTCCTCACTTGCCTGCTGCCTGTAGGGTTTCCGACAGCCTGGATGCCTACCCTGTGCCACCCAAGCAGGCCAGGCCAGAGAACGGGGAGCTCAGCTCGGCCACCACCGGCCCAGCCTCGGGCTTCCAACTGGGGGCAGACACCCTGAGAGGCCCCCTTGTGCTGGGAGGCAGCCGAACCTCAGGGGTCAAGGAGGCCTCAGGCCTCACCCCGGAGGAGGACCCAGAGCGGACGAAGCACAGTAAGCCAGGAGCCGGGGAGTGAGCGGTCGGGCTGGGCAGAGGCCACCAGCTGGCCACTTGACTAGAACCTCGCCTGTCTTCTCTCCTCGAGTCAGGAAGGAAACAAAAAACCCCCAAGAAGTTCACAGGGGAGCAGCCTTCCATCTCGGGGACCTTCGGGCTCAAAGGTGAGAGAGTTGCTGGCGAGGCTGTGTGCACCTGTGTCACAGGTTTGCCTGTGCACGTGTGGCGATGCTCCGCCCATGCCTGATCCCCTTCCATGCATGTGTACGCAGGCCTGGCCAAGGCCGAGGACAAAGCTCGCATCCACCGTGCCAAGAAGCAGGAGCTGACGGGTCTGGAGGATGCGCGGAAGAAAGAGCCCACCCCTGTCATTGCTGCGGGCAAGGAGGTGCCAGCCCCTGTGGCCCACCCAGCCCCAGGTGGGGGCTTCTGAGTGGTAGAGCAGGTCTCGACTGCGGGTGGGGGGCTGGGGTGCAGGGGCGGGGCCAGGTGTGGACCTTGGGTGCTGCCCTTGGTGTTGGGGCTCCAGGAGCTCAGCGTGGCCCTGAGGCCCCGGCCCCACCCCTCAGGTGGCTCTGAGGAGCAGTGGCAGCGTGCTATCCAGGAGCAAGGGCAGGCTGTCTGCCCCACGTGCAGCGTGGTCACCCGCAAGACCCTCGTGGGGCTTAAGAAGCACATGGAGGTGTGCCAGAAGGTGAGGCCGGACCCAGGGTCTTGGAGGGGCCCAGAGCCTGGTGGGCCGGGGCCCAGTTGTGACGGCCACTCTGTCTGTAGCTGCAGGATGCCCTCAAGTGCCAGCACTGCCGGAAGCAGTTCAAGTCCAAGGCCGGCCTCAACTACCACACCATGGCCGAGCACAGCTCCAAGGTGTGCCTAGAACTGGGCCCTCCCCAGCTCCTCAGCCCCTCCTCAGCTCTGCTTCATATCCCTTCTTCCTGCCTTTGGGTGCTGTGTGATGCCCTGTGCCTGTCCCTGGACATCCTGTCCCTGCTCCCTGCAATGGTGGGCGGGGCCCGGGGGCCTGGCACTGACGCTGCCCTGTGCCCACAGCCCTCTGATGTGGAAGCCTCGGAGTGGGGCGAGCGGGAGGAGCGGGAGCGGCTCCGCAAGGTGCTGAAGCAGATGGGGAGGCTGCGCTGCCCTCAGGAGGTCAGGCCCAGACGGGGTGTGGGTAGGAAAGGGCCTTGCCGACCCTCCCCCCCTGCCCCTGACCCCAGCCGTGACTCGTAGGGCTGTGGGGCCGCCTTCTCCAGCCTCATGGGCTACCAGTACCACCAGCGGCGCTGCGGGAAGCCCCTCTGCGACCTGGACAGCCCCTCCTTTCCCTGTGCCCACTGTGGCAAGCCCTACCGCTCCAAGGCCGGCCACGACTACCACGTGCGCTCCGAGCACGCAGCCCCGGTGAGTGCCAGGCCCCGTGCTCCCCTCCCTGGGTGCTTCCGGTGCTGCCACCTGGCCCTCACCTCCTGTGTCTGCCCCTAGCCCGCTGAGGAGTCTGCAGACAAGTCCCTGGAGGCCGAGGACCTGCTGGGTGTGGAGCGCACCCCGAGTGGCCGTGTCCGCCGGACGTCGGCCCAGGTCGCCGTGTTCCACCTGCAGGAGATCGCAGAGGACGAGCTGGCACGGGACTGGACCAAGCGGCGCATGAAGGAGGACCTTGTGCCCGAGACTGCGAGGGTGACCGCCTGGCCCCTCAGGAGGCCCCAGCTCCTGGCCTTGGGCTCCCTGGAGAGGGGGTGGCCCTCCCTCCCCACCCTGACACCCTTGGGCCTTGTCTTCACAGCTCAACTACACTCGGCCAGGCCTCCCCACGCTTGACCCCCAGCTGCTGGAGCTGTGGAAGATTGAGGTCAAGGAGAAAGGCCATGTGAACTGCCCCAATGAGGTGAGCCGGCGGGTGGGGCAGCTGCTGGGGACCAAGCACTCGGGGATCGCGCTGCCCTGGACCTTCCACTTTCCCACTGGGGTCCCCCCCCCACTGTGCTCTTGTCCCCCCAGTGCTGCGAGGCCATTTACTCAAGTGTGTCCGGCCTGAAGGCCCACCTCGCCAGCTGCAGCAAGGTGGGTGCTGCCCCAGGTCGGGCGCAGAGTGTGCCGCACAGCCGGCCAGCTTATAGCCCTCAGGGACACCCCTGCAGGACTTGGCCCAGCCCCATTCCCACAGCCCCGTCTGGCAGAGTTGCTGAGACTCCTGCCCACTCAGCCCAGCCCACCTCCGCTGGAGGGCCCTTGGAGCCTGCCTGCTAGCTTCTCCTTGCTTGCCCAGGCCTACTTAGCCGACTCGAGGGCCTGGGCATCTGCACCCAACCAGGATCTGGGAGGGGGCAGTCCTCCACGAGGGGCTGACGCCAACCTGTGGGTGCCGGTCGGTCACCCTTGCTTTGTAGGGGGACCACCTGGTGGGGAAGTACTGCTGCCTGCTCTGCCCCAAGGAGTTCAGCTCGGAGAGTGGGGTCAAGTACCACATCCTGAAGACCCACTCAGAGGTGAGGGGCAGGCACAAGGGAGGTGGGAGGACTGGCAGGCCATGCCTAGTGACCCGGAGGCTCGGCTTTGAAGAAGTCAAGCACCCCTGACACACAGCTGCCGAACATGCTGGGGCCAGGCCTGGCCTGGGGGCTCGGCACCCCCACCAGGGACTCCACAGGCTGCTGCTTCTCCCCAGAACTGGTTCCGAACCTCCGCAGACCCACCCCCCAAGCCCAGGAGCCAGGATTCGCCGGTGCCCCCTCCAAAAGAGAAGGGAAGCCTGGATGGGGGAAAGAAGCGAGGTCGCAAACCCAGGGAGCGGACCCCTGAGGAGCCGGAGCCCCAGCAGACCCCACAGCAAGAGGACTGGCCCCCGGAGGGCAGGGACAAGGGGCGGGGCTCTGTAGCCCGGAAGGTGGGGACTGGCAGGATGCCTGAGAAATGAGCTCAGTGCAAGCAGGTGGCTGGGCTGTGGTCCTGGTGCCGCAGGCCCCCCTCTGTCCAGGGCCAGCCTCCTCTAACCCATCTCCATCCCCTGCGGCTGCCCAGGGGCTGGGATGGCCCTCTCTTGGGCTGGGCGGGAGGAGGATGCAGAAATGCAATAGATGTCCCCCGCCCACCCCAACATGGCAGGGCCAAGGGTGGGGAGGGGAGGGTGGGCAGGACAATGCTCCATGCTGGCCTGGTTTTCCGGTTCCAGCTCCCCTCCCCCCCTCCCTTCTCCCTCTGTGGTCCATGGGTTCTTCCCCTGAGGCCTGGAGTTCCTCGGGTCCCCAGATATGAGCTGGCGGGGCAGCTGCTGCAGTTAGTCTGCTAGCTTTCCTGCCACCCAACACTGGAACACCCGCACCAGCTACCTCCCTGGCAGATGGGCCTGCCCTGTGCACTGCGGCCGGGGCTCTGCCCTTCCTTCCCCCCCTCCCCCCCCACTGCTTAGGATGCCACCCTGTTGCCTCACTGGTCTGGCTTGGACCTTCGAGGTGGAGACATGGCCTCTCGGCCCCCCATGAACTCCTGGCTTAGGATGGGGGTGGGGGTGGGGAGGAGGGGTGGCCCCTTGGAGTCCACTGTCCTGACATGCCTAGGGGACACCATGACCTGGCCATAGCCAGGCAGACCTAATCGGCACACAGCCCGTGTGGATGCTGTGGTTGACCTGGGGCTGGGAGGTCTGGGGCTGGCAGAGTGGACCCAGCCTGAGCAGGTGCCACTGGGGGCAGGTGGCTCTTCTGGTGGCTGATTTGGCCCCGGACCCTCCCCTGCCTGCCTCCTAGGTCTCTTGTGTGGCTGCTTGGTGCAGGATGGGGCCAGCAGGGCCAGGACTGGTCACAGCAGTCAGGTGTCCGAGGTGGGTCTCAGCTCCCGCCTTGTCTTGGACTCCTGAGGTGTGTGGTCTGCAGCAGCTTGGGGTCCAGCAGCATGACCAGGGCCACCTCACAGAGGGGTCTGTCAACGGCGGGACCTAGATGGAGACTGCCTCCCACGGGGGTTGGATGGACGGGCGGGCCGGCTAAGGGTCTGGCCTGCCCGATATGATGTTGCCGACATGATATTTTCTGGGTCTGGTGCGCACCAGTCTTATTGCTGTGACAACTAACCACCTTTTTTAATTCTGTTTTTATACAAACACTCACCACAGTGACGTTTCGGTGCTAAGGGTTCCCAGTGTGGGTGGTGGGGCTGGGGGTTGGGCTAGGGGCCTGTGATTTGCAGACCTCCACTTAACCAGGCAGTGCTGACTCAGCTTGGCCAGGGGCCCCCAACTCCTGTCCTCAGGGGTCCTCCTGCCCTAGGGAGTGGGCTGGAAGCTAGGTGGTGAGTCTGGGTGGCCCACAAGCTTCCTGTCTGACTTCTTTGGCTGAAAGGCACTGGTCCTCCCAGTCCTGGTCTGAGCTTTGAGTAGTGACTGGGATCTCCCCTCCCCATGCCACCCGATCTGGTCTGGAGATGATAGGGGTGCCTGTGAGCCAGTGTAGAGGGTGCTGGGGGTCGGGCCAGCAGCACAGGCAGGGAGCTGGGGCCCGGAGGACTAACTTTTCTGTGCCCCCAGCATCAGAGCACAGCTGTGGGGGCAGCAAGGCGGCCACACGGGGGTAGGAGTGGTTGTTGGCGCAGCCGCTAGACTGCTTGCTCTTGTTGCCCTTGTTACCTCAGCAGGAGGGTCAGGCTCCACCCTCCATGGAGGGTGGTGGCCACCCCAGCCTCTCAGGTACTTGGCTTTGGGGAGAAGCGAGAGGCCCTCGGTAAGCCCACGGGCAGGCCCTGGTGTGGACACTCCCTTTGGATGGCGGACTTGGGTCACTTCATGTTTAGCACTTTAAGCCCCTCCTGTCCTCCGTGTGGGAGTGGGGCCTGCGTTGGATGTGGCTAGGCTCAGGCCCTTCCCTCCCTCCCTCCCTCTCCCCCACTGCCGCTCTCACGCCAGGGGCCTGGTGCTTGCTTGGGCTGAGAGGGACTGGGGAGAACTTGTCTGCAGACACCTGGGTCCACTGCCCACCCTGGCAGCCTCTTTGCTGGTAGCTGCAACCAGGTGTTGACAACAACTCTACTGGAAAGGAGCTGTGTGGCCAGACTCCCCCGCCTGCCCACCCGGCGTGGTGGGTGTGGATGTGCTGGAGGCGCCCGTGCTGTGTGCACCCTGCAACCGGGCCCCTTTCTGCAGATCTACCTCTGGCCCTGCGAACAGGTTGGGCTGGCTGGAGGGGTCCACACTTCACACCCAATGGGATGCACTTTATTTGCTCACGCAAAGGCAGGTGAGTGTGCCTCCTGGTGTGACTGCCCTTCTACCTGCATGGAGGGGCTGCCCCGTGGCAGGCACCTGGAGGCTGGGCTTCAAGCGGCCGGCCGGCCAGACCCCTCTCCGGCCTGGCAGCCACGCGTAGAATACTTGGGGTTTCTTGGTTTGTTTGGTTTTAGTGCCAGTTCTCAGTACATAAGTGCATTTCGAAAGAGGTCCCGCTATCACATGTAACCATATATATACATATATATTCTATCTACAAAGTGTTTATTTGCAAGATGTTTTGACAGTGAGCTCGGGCACTGCCGGCCTTGTGACCATCCGTCCCTAGTCCTTGTCCTTCCCTCCCCTCCCTCCCCCCCAGTGTCGTGGGGGCAGGCCATCAACTGTATGTACTAAGATGACTGTATCAAATAAATGTTTATTGCTTTTTTTGCAGGACTCGTGCGGCTGAATTTGTGGTAAAAGGTGGGAGTTGGGCAGGGTCCTGGGGCTGCAGCCTCTGCCTCTGATCCACCGGGTCAGCCTCTCCGCCGCGCGGCCTGGAGGGACTTGTAGTCTGCGGGGCTTGCGCCGTACGGGCCCGAACTACAGCTCCCGGCGGCCTTTGCGCTTGGCTCACAAGCCAGGTCGGACCCGCGGCCGCCGCGAACCCCCCACCCCATGGCTACACCCCCGGCTGCCGCGCCCTCGCCCCCGGCCCCGCCACTCACTATTGCCCGCGATCCGCTGGACCGGCCGGGGGAGAAGAGCGAGCCTGCGTGCGAAGGCCGGTAGGCGGGGGCGCGCCCGCGGGAGGCTGGGCCCGCGCGCACGCTCCTCCCGTCCTGTGGAGCGATCGGGCAAGGGGCGGGGGGCACCCACGTTGGCTGCGCGGGTAACGCCCAGCACCCAGCCTGGCCTCCGTCCCCTCGCCTCCGTGGGTCGGGAAAGGTGAGCCCTTCCTGCGGGTGCACACGGTGATGTCACTGCGCGCGCGAATAGGCGCGCGACTCGCTGTGCAGACAAAGAAATGTAGGCGCAGCTGTGTGGAAGCCGGCTCCCTTCGTGGGAGTGGGAGTGGGGACCTGCCCCGCTCCAGGGAGGGGTGGGACCCCGTCGCTGGCCATGCTTTCCGCCCTGAGCCGATGGGTACCTCAGAAATGGCGCGGGTCAGGCTGCCCCGTGTTCCTGGGATCCGCGATCTACTGTGCTGTCGTGAGGACCCGAAGTAGGGAGTTGCAGGTGCGGCGAGGGAGGAGCCCCCCGACCCGGTGCTCAGCTGCGCTGCCTGGGAGACCAGGAAATGGCCCGGTGCGGCGGCCTGGCTGGAGCCTCCCGACTGGCCGCCAGGGGGCAGGGGCTGCCAATGCTGGGCTCCAGTTGCTCCTGGACAGGCTTTGCTTCCCAGACTGCTGCCGGTTGGCCCTGCTGGTGGAAGGGGGACCCATGCCAGCACCACCTCCCACCTAAGAGTCCTTGGGGCGGGGCCTTCCAGAGCTACTGCCACACGGACCGGACCGGAGAGGATCCGAGAGGATCCGTCCACTTTGCTCCTCCCTGGACCCCAGGGAGGGCATCAGTACCAGAGTACCAGGGGCACCGACAGCCTCTGGGCTGGACCCAGTGCCACCTATTGACAGTGGAGGGTGGCTTTGGTCTGACAGGAATAGAGCTGGCAACATAGGGCTGACCCGCCCCTGCTCTCACCTGCTCATCAAGGTAGGTCGGAGGGCAGGGCTCTCTGCAGACCCCTGTGCCCAACTTCTGGCTTCAGGGGGTCTACCCCACAGCCAGCATTTCTCTAAGGCCTAGGAATGCCTAGAAGCAGGGCTATGACTGACATCCTGGACAGGCAGGCGTTGGGACAAACCCGTGATCACATGCCTGCAGTGGCACCCCCACTCCATTCTTCCCTCTGTGCCTGACTCTGCTGCATGTCTGCCTCTGTTCTCCTCCCACCCCCTGTGATGCTAGGGCGCCGCCCAAGTGTAGCAATGGAGTCCTGGTAGGCGTGGGCAGGCCCCCCTGAGGGACCAGGTCCGTGGTCAGCACAGGCAGGGTGGGCAGATTCCAAGAAGGGGACAGACCGCAGGAGCAGGGGCCAGGGCAGCTGCTGTGGTGTTGGAGGGCACCTGAGTAGAGGCTGGCAGTGCAGGCTCGGTGTGCCAGTGATCGAGAGGCAGCTACGGAGCAGGAGAGAGAAGAGGCACCCCCTTAGGACCCCGACAAGGCCTAGGGGCTGTGAGCAGGCTCCCAATCAAGAGGGTTGAGGACAGAGTTGAGTCAGCCCTGTGTTGTCCTCAGGCTCACGGGGCCCACTGGCTCTGTCAGAACTAAGCCTCCTTCCACTGCCAAGGGGACAGGAGGTAGCTCTGGGCCCAGCCCCAGGACTAGGGGCCTCTGGCAGAGACACCCAGACCAGTCTGGCAGATGGCCCGGGTACCCTGATCGGTATCAGGAGGGGATGCCCTGGCATCACAGGTGTGCCCAGGGGGCAAGCAGGCTACCATGCTTTCTAGGAGGGACCCCTCACATGTGGGTCCCAAGTGGTGGGGGGGGCCTCCCCCTTTAGGTGTGTGTGAATTGCTATTGGATTTGTGAACCAGCCTCAGGTGTGTGGCCTCCACTGAGGTTATGGTACACCAGTGCATATGAACCATCCCCATATATGGACCTGCTTTGGACGTGTGATGCCCCCTCGGGTGGGTGTGGAGCTTCTACTAGATTTGTGAGTCCCCATCAGCGTTGAGTGCCTGCCCTTCTCCCCCAGGATGCCCGCAGGAGGGCTGAGGTGTGGCATGCCGTAAGCTAGCAGGGGCCCTGTTGGAGAGGGTGCCCTGCCAAGGAGGGGGGTCCTTTCCAGGGAGGTGTGTCCCCCCAGGGAGGGCCCTACTGGAGGAGTCTCTTGGCAACGGGGAATCCTGCCTTGAAGGGGCATCATGCTGGAGATGGGGGTCCCTGCAGGGAAAGATATACTGTCAGGGAGAGGGAGGTCTCTGTGGGGGAGGTGCCTCCCACCTCAACCCCCGGGAAGGAGACATCATGCTTTGGAGAGAACCCTGCTGAGGAGTGGACCCAGTGTCTGACCAGTGTAAATTCTTCTAAGCCTCTAGGCGGACACCTGGACTGACCCCTACCCATCCCCGCCTCCCCGCTTCCAGCTTGGTAGGAGGCCTCCGTCGGAGGAGTGGCAGAAAGCGGCGCGCTGGGGCCTGGGAGGCAGGGCAGGGCAGTTATTCTTAGATACGGCCTTGTGTCGAGTTTCAGACTTGTTTGTGCATTGGAGGCACCTTGCGGGGGCCGGAACTGCCCTGCTCTCTGCTCAGCCTTGGCTGGGGTCTGGATGGTCTGGCCCCTTGGGCGTCTGCAGCTGCCTAGGAACGCCTGGCACCACCATTAATCCTCTTAAGCCTGTGCCCAAGGCCCCACGCAGGGCTGTGCGCCGGAGCTCACCTGCCCCAGGGCACCGGGCACGCCAGCCCACACCTGCACACCCATCTCCGGAACCCGCCTGCTTGCGTCAACCTGCCTTCCTGGGCCATGAGCAGCCCCCCAGCTTACCCTGGCATCAGGATCTCGGGGTGCTGGGCCCTGGGAGCCGAGAGCAGGTGAGCAGCGGCCTGGGGCTGTGCTGGCAGCAGCCCTCATGTCCATGGAGACCAGCAAACAAACAGGCGCCCCTTGGGAGCACCCCTTGTCCCCTCAGGCTGATGCCGGTCTCCCTGTACCCAGAGGTGCCTTTGTGTGCCTGAGGGCAGGCAGGGTGGGTCTTCACCCTGTGAGGCGGAGCTCTGCAGGCTGCAGGCACCCAGTGGTGGTGGGCGGGGCTTGGCACAGGTGCCTTGACCTGCTTGGGACTGTCCAGCTACCCACTGGGCTTTCTCAGGACCCGAGGGGGGGGCTTGGACGTCTCAATGGAGCCCAGACATCGATGGGAGTGGACACCCTGCTGGTGGCCAGCGTCCTACAAATCTCACAGCTCAGTGCTAGCCTGGGCCCCAGGTCGTGTCCCTGGGAACTCGGGCAGGCTGGCCTTGGCTGGGCACCACTCCTCAGCACCAATATCTCTGCCTGCCCTTCTCCCAGAGCAGAGTGGTCTGGGTTAAGGCAAGGCCAGCCCCACTGTGGATGGTGCAGTGGACACAGGACCACAGGGGACTTGCAGACTGGCTCAGCCTTGTGATTTCTTACCTGACCCTGGAGGGTCCTCTAACCCTCCATCCAGGGACCCCTGAACTGGGGGGCTGAGTGGAGGGCAGCAGATCCCATGCTGGCTCTGCCCCCTCTGTGTCCCCTCCATACCCCACTGCTGCACCTGTGCTGTGTTCTCTGCCCACCGCACATGCCAGCTGCCAGCTCTGGGTACAACGTGTGACTAATTGGGGTCCCAGGGACACCACAGTGAAGCTGAACATAGCGCTGACTGACTCCCTGCCCTGCCTCCCCAAGGGGGAGAGGCAGGTGGCCTGTTGTGCTGGCCCTGAGGATGGCCAGGCATTTCCCCCAACTCACCTGGGGGCCTCTGGAGGGGTCGGGGCTGGAGCAGCTGCAACGGGCGGGGCTTTGATGACAAGGGCAGGGGGCACTGGGTGCCCATCTGAGTGCCCAAGCAGAGGTTCACATGCATGCTAGTTCTCACACATGCATGATCTGTGTTCTGACATACATGTCCCTTTGTCTTCATGCAGAAGTTCACACACGCACTCATGTGCCCTCCATGTGATTGTGCACTCACCCTCCTCTCACCCATGCTGGTTTTCCACACACTCCTACGTGCAGGCCCTCACAAATGTGCCTGTGAGCACACACACACACACACACACACACATTCTACACATGTGCTGGCTTTCCTAGGCTCAGGACACATCTGAACGCGATTAGCTGTACTTCTCGGTTCCCCAGCGCTCCAGTGACAAGATAGCATTGAGTGCCCCGGCACAGAGCTGCCTGCAGGACAGGGCAGAGCTGCCCCTGCCGGATTCCGAGGCTTCGAAGTCTGTACGGGAGTAGGCAGTCTCACCTCTCCCACAGAGCAGCTGGTGGGGTTACTCTGTTGACCTCTGTTTAGCAGCCTACTTGCTCAGGCCACTGTGCCACCAGGCTCCCGCACCCCCAAGCAGGGGCTGTAAGGACACGAGGGCTCTTCCTGGGCCTGGCTCTGTTGGTCCATCAGGGCTCCGGGGTCTGAGCAAGCATTGTGCTTCCTTGGCTGCTGCAGCTGCACTGTCCCCTGGCAGGCGGCACCACCGCTGCACTCCAAGGTGACTTCGCAAACTCAGCCTGGTTCTAGAAGCAGCCTGGCCACGGGTGCAGGACTGGACTTGGGGCTGGACCCTCTCCTGGGGGCTCCACCCAACTGTCTAGAAGGCCTGCTTCTGGGGGGCTCTGCACCAACGCCACGACCACCTGCCTCTCCTCCTCCCCGGCACTCTGGGGATGTCCCACTCGATGCTGCTGCCCTCAGGCCTCTCCTGATACCTGTGTCTGCCAGGCTGTTCTCAGGGGAGGGCTCACAGAGGACCTGGTCCCCACTGGTCACTGGTGGCCCTTGCAGGCCCTGGAGCGGCCATTTGAGAGTTGATGTCCTGCTGGTGTGTGGTGAGGGACCAGCAGCCGTCTGAGCCCTGCACCTCCCCTTCCCCGCTTTCCCCACCGCAGCAGCAATGCAGAGTCCCTGGACAGGCTGCTCCCGCCTGTGGGTGCAGGGCGCCCACCCCGGAAGCGCACGACAAGCCAGTGTAAGTCAGAGCCGCCCCTGCTTCGGACCAGCAAGCGGACCATCTACACGGCCGGCCGGCCCCCCTGGTACAACGAGCACGGCACGCAGTCCAAGGAGGCCTTCGTCATCGGTGAGCCTGTGGGCCTGTGCTGGGCCGCGCTGCGCTGCACGCAGCCGGGGCACCTTCCAGCCAGCCAGTCTCCGCTCCCCTGCAGGCCTGGGTGGTGGCAGTGCCTCAGGGAAGACCACGGTGGCCCGGATGATTATCGAGGCGCTGGATGTCCCCTGGGTGGTCCTGCTGTCCATGGACTCCTTCTACAAGGTGAGACCCCCACTGCCTCTCACCCCCCCCACAGCCCTCCCAGGCCACAGTGCTGGCCGGTGCGACCTCCCCCTGTCCAGGTGCTGACTAGGCAACAGCAGGAGCAGGCCGCAAACAACAACTTCAACTTCGACCACCCCGACGCCTTCGACTTCGACCTCATCGTCGCCACACTGAAGAAGCTGAAGCAGGGCAAAAGCGTCAAAGTGCCGGTTTATGACTTCACCACCCACAGCCGCAAGAAGGACTGGGTGCGCCACCCGCCCAGGGACCCATGAGAAGGACTGAGTGTTCTTGGGGGTGGAAGGCAGGTGGCCCTGGGTGGGCCGGGGCTGCAGGCTGTGACACCTGCCTGTCCTTCCAGAAAACACTCTATGGCGCCAACGTGGTCCTCTTTGAGGGCATCATGGCCTTTGCGGATAAAACGCTGCTGGAGGTGAGGCGGGGGAGAATTGGATGGGGAACTGGCCTGGCATCCCTCCTTGGGCTGTCCTGTCCTCATCTGGACACTCAGCTCACCCTCCCTGCGGGGAGCTCTGTGGGCCCGATGCCCAGGCCTGACCCCTGTGGGCACAGTCACCAGGTAAGCCCCCACACTGGGGCATGCTTCCCAGGCAGCCCCTCTGGGCATGGCTTGCCTCCTCATTGCACCTGCTATGTGCTTAAAGGGGGGGGGCAGGCTCTAGTGGAAGAGCCCTGGGGTGCCCTGTGCCCTCCCCGTTCTCTGTATCCTGGCACCCTTTGGTCATGGGTGCTCAGCCCAGCCTGGCCCCACCGCGCAGCTCCTGGACATGAAGATCTTCGTGGACACCGACTCAGACGTGCGCCTGGTGAGGCGCCTGCGGCGGGACATCGGCGAGCGTGGCCGGGACATCGAGGGTGTCATCAAGCAGTACAACACGTTCGTGAAACCTGCCTTTGACCAGTACATCCAGCCCACCATGCGCCGGGCTGACATCGTGGTGCCCAGAGGTGGACCGACTAGGCCCCAGCCCCCACCTACCCAAGCCCTCTGACACCCAGGGACCCTAGCCCCCAGGAGGCCACCTTGGATGCCCTCAGCTCACCTGGGCTGTCCCCCCAGCATCCACCCTTTCACCCCCTTCCACCCCTATTAGTTTCCCCAACCACCTGCCCATCCCCCAACCTTATCCTATACCCCAATATCTCCATGAATCCCCTCCCATTCCACCTACTTGGTCCCCCTACCAACACCCTGCCCCTCTCTAACCCTCCCATCCCTCCTAACCCCTTCCAACCCTCTAACACCTGCCCCATTTTCCCAACCTCTCCCCAGTTCCCTGTCCCCCCTAATGCCACACCCTCCCCTCCCCCAGGGAGCGGAAATGCGGTTGCCATCGACCTGATCGTCCAGCACGTGCACAGCCAGCTGGAGGAGGTGAGGCCCCCAGCCCCTGCCCCTCTGGGGCCCTCCCCACCAGCCCCGTGCCCCTCAGGCCCCTTCCCTCAAGTCCCTCCACCCCCGAGCCACCTGCCCCCCAAACGCCCTACCCGCCGGACCCCCTGGCTGGTGCACCCCTGAGGGTGAGGCCTGGCCGGCTGGTCAGTGCCACCCAAGACCAAGAGCTGAGCTGGCGCTGCCGTTGCTAATGCCATACCTGTTCCCTTGTGCCTCCGTCGGCCGCTCCAGCGCGAACTCAGCGTCAGGTAAGCCCCCACACTCAGAAACGGGGTGCCCTGCCGCCCTTGGAGCAGGCCAGGAAGGGCAGCCGGGGGTCCTAGTCAAGCTGGACCCCTCCGAAGCCCCTGGACACCACTGCTGCTCAGGAGGGGCAGCCCACGCTCTGGTAGCTGCGGTCAGCTGAGGTGGTCAGCCCCCACCTGTGCCCATGCCAGCTGCGCTGGCCCTCCTGCTTCCTGACGCTGCATGCTCCTCGCCTGGCTGCCCCCCCCCCCCCAGGTCACCACAGACCTGTCAATTCAGACCTTTGTTCTCAGGGTCTCAAAGCTGAGAGAGGCCCAAGGCCTGGTTTCTCTGTCCTGGGCAGACCCAGGCTGGCCTGGCCCACTTCCCACAGGAACAAAGGCTCCCAGGGCCTCCGCCTGCTGCCCCCATCCCCCCACTGAGGCCTCTTCTCTGTTCTCTTCCTTTCTCTGTGCACCCTGCTCCTGCCTGTCCCCCTACCCCGACTGTCACCTTGCGCGGCTGGCGGCGGCGCCCGGGCAAGCAGAGGAAGCTGCGCTGGGATATGTGAGGACAGTGTGGTCTGGCCTGGTGCTTCTTGCCTGCCGCATGTCCACCTGCCCCAGCCCACTCTAGCCCCTGCTCTGGCCAGTGTCTCCAGGCAGCCACTACCTGGCCTCACCAGCCCTGGGTCCCGCAGGCAGCCCTGGAAGCAGATTTGCCCCACCTGGGACCTGCGGGCGAGGCCTGCCACTCTGGTCAGCAGGCCCTGGGCTGGGGTCCTGAAAACCCCAGGAGGGGCTGAGGCCCTCCCTCTGCTGCTGCAGCTGAGCTGAGGGACCTGGAAGTGGGGGCTGCCCACCACCCTCTGCTTCCCGCCTAAGGGTCTGCTGCTCTGCTAGGGGTGTGTGGTCCAGGGGACCCATGGGGGCTGGCCCCCAGAGCAGCCACAGGGGCTCTGGCCCCACCCTGCCCATCACCTCTGACCAGACCAGTGGTCACGAGTCCCGGGGTTGAACATGTGCACTCGCCTTGTGGGGAGGGGCTTTGGCTCCCAGGGCTCTGGGAGGAGACCCTGTATGGCGTGGCATGTTCCTGATGGTCACCGTGTCCCCAGGGCTGCACTGGCCTCTGCACACCAGTGCCACCCCCTCCCTCGGACACTGAGCGTCCTCAAGAGCACACCACAGGTGCGGGGCATGCACACCATCATCAGGTGAGGCCACCTGAGGGCAGTTGGGGGTAGTGGCGGAGGTGGGGTCCCTACAGACCCCAGCACCAGGACAGAGCCTGCTGCCTGCCCGCAGGGACAAGGAGACCAGCCGGGACGAGTTCATCTTCTATTCCAAGCGGCTGATGCGGCTGCTCATCGAGCACGCCCTCTCTTTCCTGCCCTTCCAGGTGGGGGCTGACCCAGGAAGGGGGTTGCCTGGGGAGGGGGATCTCTACTCGCTCACCTATGTGGGCCTTCTGCTCTGCACACAGGAGTGTGTGGTCCAGACCCCGCAGGGCCAAGACTACTCGGGCAAGTGCTACGCTGGAAAGCAGGTACTGCCTAAGGCCAGGGCTGGGGCAAGCCAGGCAGCTGCCCTGTCTCCAGTCTGCTGAGACTGCTCCCCTCTACCCCCAGATCACCGGCGTGTCCATCTTGCGTGCTGGGGAGACCATGGAACCAGCACTGCGGGCTGTGTGCAAGGATGTGCGCATCGGCACGATCCTCATCCAGACCAACCAGCTGACCGGGGAGCCCGAGGTGGGGGGCGGCCCAGGAGGCGAACCTGGGGCGTGGGCCTGGGGAGAAGGAGAGCAGTGCTGAGCCACAGCCTCTGGTGCCCCCAGCTCCACTACCTGCGGCTGCCCAAGGACATCAGCGATGACCACGTGATCCTGATGGACTGCACTGTGTCCACGGGTGCAGCGGCCATGATGGCCGTTCGAGTGCTCCTGGTGAGTGAGGGGCCTGGCGGCAGGCGGGACAGTGGGTGGTCCTGGGCAGGGCTCACCGGCTTGCCCCCAGGACCACGACGTGCCCGAGGACAAGATCTTCCTGCTGTCCTTGCTCATGGCCGAGATGGGTGTGCACTCCGTGGCCTATGCCTTCCCTCGCGTCAAGATCATCACCACGGCGGTGGACAAGCGGGTCAACGACCTGTTCCGGATCATCCCTGGCATTGGTGCGTGTGTGTGTTCCTCCCTGGCATTGGTGTATGTGTGAGTGTGTTTATGTTTTCAACCACCTGGGGCACCTGGCAGGGGAAGCATGGAGGGATTAGGGGGAACTTCCTGGGAGGGGAATTCCCTAGGGGTATCTGCCTTGGGGGTGGGGCCAGGGGGCTGGCTGAGGGGACACCCACACCCTACTGCTTCCTCCAGGGAACTTTGGCGACCGGTACTTTGGGACAGATGCTGTACCGGACGGTGGCAGCGATGAGGAGGAAGTGGCCTCTACGAGTTAGTAGTCCCAGCTGTGCCCTGCCCTGTCGTCCTCCCACCCCTGGCCTACACTTGCCAGACACCCAGAAGCTAACTTATTGTAGAAATAAAAAGTTGCTTGTCTGTAGAGACTCTGTGCTTCCCTGGGGACCCAGGGACCTACCTGGGCTTGGGGGGTGTGTGTGTGGCCTGATTAGGCAGGGGCAGAGCTGAGGTGCACGGAGGGGCCTGGCGGTGGGTGGCAGACCCAAGGCCTTGTGAGGCAGGGCAGGAAGCCATGTGGGTGGCTGTTGCCGGCAGGGACTTACAGCCGCCCCCCAAGATATGACCTGGGCTGCCAGGGTGGGGCTGGATCGCTGGTGGGGGCAGTGGGGCCAATGCAGAGGTGCATATGTGCCCAGGGAGCCCTCCACCCCGGGCTGTGGTGTGCACCCTCTCTGTTCTCTAGTCCTGGCCTCAACCCTTTCCTGCCCCTCCCTGGTCTTCTTGGGCGCCCCCCACCCCACCCCACAAAGGCCGTGTCATGGAAAAGCCTGCGGTGGGGCGGGGACAGGAAGCTGATGGGGGAGGGGGCAGGTCAAGGGGGCAGATAAAAGGCGAGGCTAGTCCAAGGGCAGGGTATACACCCAGGGGAGAGAGGATCATCTGGGGCCCCAAGTCAAGCAGGTGGTCATCTACTCTGGTGAGTGGACCTTCCCTTACTCATGTGCCAGGTTCCCGCCCCTCCCCACTCCAGCAGTCTTACACTGAAGTTCGTAGGGCCGGCCCCCGCGGACTTGGAGGCAGGCAGCACCTCTGCTCAGCTTGGAGGCCTCACCTGCCCAGAGCAGAAGTGAGGGCCCAGCCTGCTGGGGCCCGAGGAGGACAAACTTAAGAAGGCTTATGTGCCCAGCACCCCCACCCATCTTGTCCACACACATGCCCCTTGGGAGCCTGGAGAGGGTCTGCTCTGGTCCACCTAACCCCCTTGCCTCGGGTCAGCCACCACCTGCTGCAGAGGCCAGTGGACAGCGGGCAGGCCAGGATCAGAGGCCTACCTCATTTGACCCCTCCAGGTTGGATCCATGGTAGAGGAGGGAAACCCTCGGGGCCTGGTACCATGTGGCCACAGATCCACAGCATGGGGATTCTCCTGCCTATTTTCTGTCTGAAAGCCGGGGGTGGGGTGGGGGAAGGGCTACTGTTCAGTCGCAGGAAACTAGGCCAGGGTCCATGCCCCCACACCCCACAGCTACTGGACACCAGGGAGGGGGCTTCCTTTGCAGGGTGTATGTGACCAGGGACCCTGGGGCATTTCAGGTGAGCTGAGGCCCAGCCAGGGACTGTCATAGAATCCATGAGGAGAGGCTTTGGGCTCTCAGCAGGGCCCCTGGGCAGTGCCCCCCGGACTGTCGCCCCTGAGAACGTGAGGCTGCAGGCTCTCAGGCCCGTCAGCCCGTGAGGCGCCGCCCTCTGCAACCATGACCTCTCAGATGGGTCTGTGTGCTGCGGCATGGCCAACGGGTGGGGGCACAGGTGCCACTGCCCCTGCCCCAGACAGGACAGTAGGGAGGGAGGGCTTGGGCTGAGGGGAGGGTCCCAACTCAGGAAGCACCTTAGCCTTGGTCTAGTGACTCCAGTCAACACCCCAGGTCTTCCAAAATGAGTCCTGGTGGAAGAACCTTCCAGAAAGGAGCCCACGGGAGCAAAGTGGGGCAGATGAGGCAGTTGAGGACCCAGGACTTTGGGCGGGGTGATCTGCAGGGTCTGGGAGGTCATGCTGAGGAGTCCTGGGGCCATTTGGATTTGGGTCAGCTGGGCAGGACACCTCGGTACCATGGCCCCCAGCAGCGCCACTAGCATAACATGATCTGCCCCTTCTCACAGCTGCACCCCCAGTCCCTGTGCCAAGTCCTGGGGGTAGGGTGAAGGTCACTGGGGAGGACTACATGAAGACCAGGGGGGCCCTTGGCAGAATGGAGGGTGTTGAGCAGGGCGTCCTTCAAATGCTGGCAGGTGGCACTGGTGCTGGGACCTGCAGTTCAGGCTGGCTCAGTTGCTGGGCCCCGGTTCCTGCTGCAGCACCCCTGAGCCTGGGTACTCGCCCCCAGGGTTCATCGTGAAGTCCTGTCTCCCTCTAGTGTGTGCAGGAAGTCCCTTGTGGACCTTATGGCTGGCACCCGTAGGTGAACGGCCTGGCCTCCCCTCCAACTTTTGGAACAAAATGCTTTCACTAGTGAAGTTAGTGGTGGAGGCCGTGGGGTCCATAGGGCCTGGGGTGGGGAACACTTACGCGAGACCAGAGCGGTGCCCCACCCCCACCCCAGTCCCAGAG